CCCAAAGCACAGGGCAAAGAACTGCACCCCCTCAGCACCCTGAACCCCTATCTACAACGACACCACAAGACCCTGGAATCTGATGCGCCCACCTAGGCGGCTGCACGACCCTCAGCAGGACCCCCAGAGGCAGCAGGGGGAGGAGGCGGCATGCCAGGTCTTTAGCATCTCAAACACCTGAGCATGGAGATGCTAATGGCCACTTAGCGCCCGAGGCTCTGCGTCCTCCCTGTGGAGGCAGATGCTGGGTCAACCAGAGGCCCAGAGTTTGGAGGTCTCAGCCCAGGACTTGTGGCACGTTTTCCTTAATCGAGTGGAAGATGCAAGTTCCACGCCACGGCACTGAGTGCCACGGGGGTGTCTGAGGCTTGGGGCTGCGGGGATGGGGATCGGGGCTTAAGGAGGGCTTGGGGGAGAGCCCCGCTTCCCGCATGTCCCTCGTGGACACTGCATCGGCCTGAGCTGACCTGGGTCGCGGAGCCGGTGAACCCCAACTTTTGCCGACACGTGTGAGTCACGGCTGCCACCTCGCGGCCACGGCTGTCTCCACACACACAACTGACCCGGCACATTCGGGGCTGTGACCAGCACCGGGGTCTGTGCCCAAAGCAAGTAGAGGACCTGAGATTCTTCTATGCTGGACGGGGCACCCCAGGGACCAAGTGCCACATGGGGCGGGTCGCCCCTTGTGGCCGGGCGCCACGTCCTTCAGGCGTGGGGACCCCTCATGGCCCCGAGTATTTCCTCTGCTCCCACCTTCAGTGCGCAGCCTGGAGGCTCAGACAGGCACCCGTCTCCCTGACGAACCCTGTGAACCCCAGGATATCTGGCCTGGACAGACCTGGGTGTGTTTGTGGTCGGACACGGGACACCACGCAGGAGGACGAGGGACACAGAGTGGGAGGACCCTGGGACACGGCGCGGCAAACCGGCACGTTCCGCGGCCGCACCCTCGGCCGCCTGCGGTGCTGAAGTCTGAGTCGGCACTGCCACCTCGCTGCCTCTGCC